CTCTTCCGGACAAGGATTCATACTCTTCGCCGGAACTCCACGGATGCAAGACCCGACTCTCGGCCGCCCGTTCATGCATCAAACAACACGACGGCAATCGCAGTTGTGTTCAGCTGCGACTTGGGTGGACATATATCTATGTGCCCACAGAGATGTGTACTCGGTATACTTTTGCGAACGTGACCAAGCTCTGTTTGCTGTTATCGTGCGCACGTGGCATACGGTGTATCTTTTGCGGATAATATCTACATATCATATACGCACAGGCCGAGTGTGTAGAAGTTGTGCTACTTCACATCTTTTAACACATACATACACAACTCCGCTGTGGAGTGCGTAGCTCACTCTGGCCAGGATATGCGTGACGCAGATTGATGCAGTTTGCGTCACAAGCGAGCGTGCACCCGCCCTGAGTCCATCCGATACACATACATAACAGACTTACCCGCACTATTGCGAGTACCTCTTTTTATTGCAATTCGAATAAAGACTGGTATGTCGTGTTCTGGCTTCCTCTAAATGTATCTGTTATTTCTAAGATGTCACGAGACTCGACAAGGGTAGAGGTCTAGAGGATCGTATCCTGTCCTAGTCACTGGGGACATGGCTTGGGTTTGATACCATTTTTTGTTGTATATTTGGGGTATGTAGGAGTGGGCGATTTGAGAGTTGGTTTTGCCCCTGTGTTTAACCATCTAGATCCTTCGGCTATATGAAACAGTATAGTGAATGACGGGTGTGATGCTTGCTGCTTCCGCAATGAGTTGTGCCCAGAACACTCGACAGGACTAGAAGTAAAAAATAGGCAAACTTACAGATGTAAAGGGGAGTATGCCCTCCCTAATCAGTAGTTGCTCTTGAACGCAAATGCTGTATTAAAAGTTGCCGGACCAAATCTATTGCCCGGAAGATACCAGGAAAACATCAATGCTTCCGAAGTCACCCGTTGTGATGGCGTGTCTGTTGTTGCTCATTAAGTGCCGGCCATCTAGGATATAAGCACCGATATGCTACCGATGACTTGTGCGCCGGACATCGATGGTGAAAATCCCGATGCAACAACATCAGTGCGGTTTCCCCAATAAACAGCCGTTTTCCTAGCACCGATTTCGGGAAGGTCCTAATCCTAATACACCCTGCATTCACTTCCCGGCACGATTTTCGGCTCATTTTTTATCTGGTTTGCAAGCTTGCACAGGTATCCTTGTATGAACACAAGAAAATCCATGTGTCTATAAACCCTAAAATCCATGCGTCTATATACATACGGATTCGTACACATAACAAGCAATATTGCTGGTAAAAGAGCAGGCACGACTGAGTCTCGTTATGCATCAGCTTCATTTGTCGCATTCTATATGCCTTCTTTCCCACCCACGCCATCCTGTTTATCCATATTCCGTTATCAATCATATATATATATATATATATGTATTTATGCACCCTTCTCGATACAGAAGGTGAGTTTTGACGCATCATACATGTCACATAGGATACCAAGTGTGCGCTTCATTAAAAACCCCCGATGGTAACGAGCCTAACAACACCATCCAATCAGTCCTCTAACCAACACAGCCAGCAACACACAAACACATATGGTAGCGCACGGTTACCAAACAATGTATTTATCAAACAATTTATTCTATGTGCACGCAGTAGTACAATAAAAAAAAACGTTAATACGTATTGGCATACTGGTCTTTTGAGGAGATCATCACTGTATTCATCCCAGGACACTCCGATTGTTTAAGCGGGTATATATACATATTTTGAATAGTTATCCGAATAGTCAGTTCGATAGCTGTCGCTGCTCACACTCACTAGAGGGCATATACAGTGTCGTATACATTAAAAACAATTACTCGGGAGTATTTTCATACTATGCCAGGAGTGATAGAGAAGCAAGTACATTTGATTTAAATGATAAAGGGGAAAGGAAGGGAAAAATAGGGCCAAAGGAAAGGAAAAAGAGGGCCACAGGGAGGAGTAGCTATGATGGACACTCATTTGTTTCTACTTGTGGCTGTTCATATTGTCTGCACTGCATGGTTCCAAGTGGCGGATATACATAAGGCCCTATGTACTTCTGCAGTTCTCCTTTTGGGTGTATTTCGTATTTAATGTGCTACGTACCAGTTCAGTTGCACAATACCTTATGTACTCTTGTACCCTCATTCAACTGCGCTTATTCTTGTCATGTCATATGTACTTCTGCAATTCTCCTTTTGTGTGTATTTTGTATTAAATGTGATACGCACCCTTTCAGTTGCACAATACATTATATACTCGTAAGCCCAATTGTACCCTCATTCAATTGCGCTTCTTCTTCTAGTTCTTCTGCGTCTTTCCCTTACTCTTGCTTCCGCTATTCCCTCCCTTTGTGCTCGTGCTCGTCTTAGTCCACTTCGAATTCTTAGCAGGCTTGTTAGCTGGTTTAACGTGCTTCTGTGTCCGTGCTTGCTTCTCAGCCGCCGCTATCGCCATTTGCATATGCAAGGCCTGTCTCTTTTCTTTTCTCGCCGCCTCGGCCTCCCCACGTTGCATGTCCGCGGCTTTTCGCTTTCGCGTCTTCTCATCCTGGCCGCTATTCCTAGCCGTCTGACTCTTCTCACTGCTACCGGCACCATTGTCATCTGCGCTGTCACTATCACTGTCGACACTCTCACCGTCGCTCCGTTCCACCCACTCGCCCCCCACACCCACACCATCACCCTCTACACTATCATCATCTTCATCATCGTTATCACTGTCACTGTGTCCATCCTCTTTACTCTCCTGACTTCTGTCCATGACTTGCTTCTCTGTTGAGTTCGCCACAGCCTCTGTGTCATCAGCAGCCGCGCCGGCGCTGGTTTGTGCGTCATCGGCCAAGTACTCACCTTCGTTGATTAGGCTCGTGATGTCTAGACAAGTGAGTCTGCAATTGGTCGACACACTGATGCGGTCGTGAAAACAAATGAAGCGTTAAGATAGAATACACAAAGGGATGCTCTTGCACATTGACTGCGCATGTATTCCACGTTGTTATTAGTCTTGCAATACCAGAAGGCACTCGCATGCCTGTAAGTACGACGTATAAAGTACTAGCATGTTAGGGGTTTAGGGTTATATACATAGCAATTCGTATATACAGACTGGTTTGTACCATTCAAACGTCAGGCTACCTACCTGGCCACACAAGTGATTTTGTCGCTGGCGGCGGAGGGTGACATACTCCACACTTTGATCTCGCCATCTGAGCACGCACTGACCAGCAGAGACGAATCGGGACTGAATGGACTGGGCAGCGCTTTAATCGCCTGAGAGAAGCGGAGAGCAGGCTGTGTTAAGCATCTATACAAGACTTATTCATACGAAAAATCGTATCTGTTGTTAAGTATCTATACAAGACGTGTCCATATGAACACTCGTATGTGTGCCAGTAGCAATACATTGATATGTGCGCATCCGTCAAGGTATGAAGGTACATGGCTCACCGCACAACGAGAGACATAAGCACATGCGGGGAAACAAGGCAGCGACATCGAGCATGTACACTTAAACCAAAGCTGCCACGTATCTGAAAACCCTAAACCCTAAAACCACAAATTCCCTCACACTGTAACTTGGAGAAACTTAGAAGGGGCATATCATTCTTCGCTAATAGTTACGAGGCAAAAAAATGCACATGCCCATTGGCATACTGGCTTGTGGATCCGAGCCAAACAACTACGCATATATACATACGAACAACCATTATCAACTTATATAACCTGTGGGAGTGTTTACGGACGGTCTCGTTTAAACACAGACCGTCTAGATACACAGGCCGCGAGGCATCAGAGAAGTTTGGGGATTTCTTCAGTACGATCGGTGTGATTTGAACTATGGCTAAATAAATACACTACATCAAATATGCCACTTTTCCTGATATAGCCGCACAATACTCTCCAACGATATATATATATATATACACGCACACGCACATATATATAAATTTATATTATTTATACCACGCAGAGCGCTTCGAGCACGTAGTGTATAATTCGTATATTGTAACGATACACACCTTGACACGTTTAAAGTGTGCTTGCTCTTCACAAACCATATCTCCAGTCATCACATCGAGTACCTGAATCGCACCAGTTTCCAGTCCAACGGCCATGTGCGTATCCTGAACACGTGTGCAAATATAAAGAAATGGATGTCATGTACTTATATACAGACTTTCTGTTCCTATTTAGAATATCCATAGCCATATGAATGTCTCAACCTTGTGCGTTTATTTTTGTTTGCCATACACGGTTATATTTACACACGCAGACGATTGGTCGTCCGACCCACAACCCCATTTTTGCTGTCGTATTTGAGTTCACAGTGAAATATAGTCATTGCAATACAGATCCCGAGAATGATTCACACACACATATATATACATGCATACACACACACACATATATATAATATGAAAACATACATACAGATATACATAGATATAATATAATGTGTTTATGCAAAAACATCACAATCATCCTTTTAGTGTGTACGATCCACCGCAGTCGAAGCGACACAGAAACACTGAGCCCGCATTCGACCGTGACACAGATAATCGCCCAGCCATGTCCACATACACAGTAGACTCTTAGCTAGCCACATAGTGCGTGCCAATATGTGGACAAAAATAGTGCATAGCTCATGTATATCGCTATTGCTGAAAACGAATAAAGACAGCATTTACACATCCCCATTTATATATACATACATACATATATATATATATACATACATACATATATATATACATACACCAGCTTTGACTGATTATCATACCGATAGGAATGCAATGGTGTGCACTCGTCCGCATTTGACTGCGGCACACAGCGAGGCATCCTCCGCCTTGTACATGAACACGGTAGAGACCCCGCTAACCGCATAAGAGTTGCCCGTGGGGGACCAGACGACCTGAAACGCCTCTTCCGTAAGCTTTGTGATATATGCCGAACGGCCTTTCACGAGATTCCACAGGCGCATGTTCTTATCTTTACCTACAGACAGCAGGAGCCTGAAGTGCAAGATACATGAGCCACGCAGATGAGTGCCAGCATATATTGAAGGTAAACCATCCCGTAGTTACCACTAAGTGCACAGATTGGGATAGCGAGTGTTCAGGTAAGCTCATACAAGCGGGTCCGCACGGGATAACAAGATAGAATGCATGTAGGTATGTATCGAATGTCAGACCGGCGCCCACTAAGTTGCACAGTCGTAGACTATTAATCTCTCTCACCTGACAAACCAAACATACAGTCATGTACGTCTTTACTAGGATCGCACCCGGAATGGAGTTAACTAGGTCGTTGCTAAGATACGGGGCAGGTACCATACCAGCCTTTTATAACATTCAACTGATTCCATTACCCTCACAGGAATGTACTATATATACATGTCGGGTGTCGACATGTTCTAACGTATAGTACCACACCCTTTCTCTTCTTCAGGCACACATGTTATTCTATTCATATATAGGCGTTTACCACACCCCTTCTCTTTTTCAGGCACACATATTATTCCATTCATAAATACTCGTATACCACACTCCTTCTCTTGTCCAGGCACACATACTATTCCATTCATAAATAGGCGTATACCACATCCCTTCTCGTCTTCAATCACACATATTATTCCATTCATAAACAGGCGCGTATGCGCGTGACGCTACAATCGCATACCTGCCAGACGGGTGCATAGCTAAGTCATTGACCATTCCCTTGTGCCCTCGAAGTACCTTGTAGCACTCGAAATCCTATTCGCAAATTGGTGGTGGGTTGTTACGGTGGTCAGCTATGAATATATAATAGTCATCTATCGGTTACATGCACATACGTGGATGGTTCAAGGACGTAATGTATAGGAAATATATAGCACTAAGTATTGTCGCTCTCTATATATGGCGTACTCACTCCTGGGTAAGGAGATACTCGTATACAACACCTGCTATGGCGTGGGCTTGCCACAGCTTGAAGCAGCTTGCACATCGTAATAGCATATGGAATATATTAGGCTATTTTTAAAGAACCGCCAAACAGTATGGATATGTACAAACCGTCATACATATGCGCCCGCTATCTCGTCGTTTGCTTTGGCTGCACTATGAACTGCAACATATATGCGCAACGTTGATGACAAACATGAACTTAAGTGGGGAACGTTTATAATCATGAGGCCTGAGAACATGATTTCAAAACATATACATACTTACATACACTTATATATATATATAAATCGACACAAACACACATATTTATATTAAATATAGAGGCATATATATGTATATGTACATATATATATATAGACGCACACACATACACACACACATATATATATATATAGACATACACACGCACAATATATATACACATGTGTGTAGATATATATACATATATATATATATATAGATGTATAGGTGCATAGATTCTTTGATCTATATATATATATAATGTATACACATATACATATAATGAATACATATATATATACATACATACATACATATATATATACATATATACATACATACATACACACACACTCATATATATATATATATGAGAGACAAACATACCTTCACGCGCCAGATGCAAATCTGTCCATCCTCGCCCGTACTGATCATATGCGTAGTGCGGAAAAACTGTAATTTTGTTATTGCCCCCTCGTGTTGCATTAGCAGTTCCCCTAACTCTCTTTTCCGCTTCAGATCGTATAGTTTAATCTGCTCGTCGGTACCTGTATAGTTTTAACAAATATGAGTGCAAGTTCCACACACCATTGCAAGCAACATAGCACCCACAATAGAACGTCTGATTTCGAGACAAAATGTAAATACGTGATGATGCACGAGATACTCTATAGAAACTCGGTGCAAACAAATAAAGATGCAATTACTATCTAAATTCTCCATATACAAAACAGACGCAAACAAACACAAACACAAATATATATATATATACAAAACTATAAATATATCATTCATGCATACATGTACCCACACGTATATATATATATATATGTATATATATAGACATAAATACACATACACACTCCTATATAT